TGCCGTGATATAGGACCTTACTTAACTTAGTGGATCCACTAGCTTAATCTTACGTGATCATCTAAAAAGAATGATCCGTCAAATCCCATGTTGGTGCATGGTTCTTATGGAGAGTTGAGTTAATATGAACTCGCGTCCCCAATTCGGTGCTCGATACTACTCCCAAAAATACTTTAGCTCATAAGTGTTTTAAACACAACCTTCTTTAATCGAGATAATTACTCAAAATCTATTCCAAAGGCTTACTTGGAAACGATGTTCCTTTTTCTTGAAAACTAGCCCAAAGGCTCTTTTGGAAATCATAGTCCCTTTCTTACTCAAATGTAAAAACATTTAGAAACTTCTTTGGGAATACATAGTTCCCTAATAGCTTTTGAGAATGAACTCAACTTTAAACTCTTGACTCAACTTGAAACTTGAGACCTCTTTCTTAGCTTGAAACTCTAAGCTCTTTACTCTTAACTAGACTTGCGACTTGAGCCTTAGAATGAAGTGAAACGTTCAATAAGGACTCTTGAACAACTTTGAAACTTGTTTGAACTAACTTCTTAACTTTGTCTTGACTTCTAACTTCACTTGACTTCTAACCCTCCTTGAATTTAATTATGAATTCAAAGTGTTGGATCACATGTTACGGATGAGTTCGGGAGGTTTAAATGTACCTTAGAGTGTTCGAAACAACCATAAATCATAGGTACAATACCAAGGAACATGCCTGAGAAAGCATGGAAAGAATGGGGGAACATGGCGTCCTTGGCGCTCTGCAAGGCGCGGAGCACCAGGCCTTGAAGCTCATAAGGCACCTGCTGGCGCTCCGAGAGGCGCGCCGCCCCAAGGGCTGAACTTCAGAGTCCCCTTTGGGGGGCGCTGGCAGGCGCGACGCGCCAACCACCTTGCCCAGAAACTCGACTTTTCTCCCTTGTTATGCCAACTCTAAACCACCCTTACTTCAAGGGCTTCAACCCCAAACACTAAGGATCATCATATCCCTCAACATACAATGGATTACAACTCAAAACACAATCGGAAACAAGTCCCAAATCAACAAGACTCTCAACATCACAATCAACAACACTATCAACACAACAACTAACAACTTCAACAACAATTCCAATCTTTTCTCAAATCATAAAAATGAACTTGGTGTGTGGGGGAAAGGATTAATCCACACAAATAACTCACATACCTTGATAGGGATCACCCCCGACAATATCCACGAGGACCCTTGATGGAAACTCCTTGCTTGATCTTCTCTTCCTCCTCTTCTTCTCTTCTTTTTCTTTTCTTCTTCCCTCAAGCCCTAGCTTTCACTCTTTAAAATGGGACCAAAAATGATTCACAATCAGCCCAACACAAAAATATAACCTCAAAAGAAATAGCTAGGGAAAAGACCAAAATGCCCTTAAATATCCGGACGGATTCCCTGCCAACTGCCCAACTTTCAAAGGTCATAACTCACTCATACGAACTCGGAATCGAGCAAACTCGATGGCGTTGGAAAGACCATTCCATGAGCTATGTAGCCATAACTGGAACTACACCTAACTCATTCTGAGCTAGAAGTTATGGCTATTCAAACTTGGCCAAAAACTCACCTTTTCCATACTTGGCCAAAATTTTCCAAAATTTTCAAATTCTTTCCAAAAATGAAAATTTTCAAATTATAAGCCTCTTCTTAGTTATCTCATTTGGCCGGATGTTACATAAAGATGGAAGCCTAAAAGATAAGATAAGAAGATGATGAGAAGATAAAAATGAAGAAAAAGAAGACATATGGCAAAAGTAAATAGTATTAGTATGTAAATAATAAAGCTATTAGAAATAGTAGTAGACATGTGTAAAGTAGGAATAGTTAAATTAAGTTTAAATTAGTGAACAGTGTATATTAAAAGTAGTAGGGACAAGTGTAGGTATGGGTAGGTATGGGACTGTAAGACAAGTGCAAAGAGTAAGTATGGGATTGTAAGAAAGCCATCAAATAGTGTAAAAAAGTCATAAGAGTAAGTAGTATAGTACGTGCACATTATTGTGCATTACTGTAGAGATAAGGTAGGAATTGTAAACTAGTAGTCGTTTCCTTTTTATATAAAGGGACGCATATGTAACATAAAAAGCGGGCAACGCCTAAGACAATAAAAATCTTCTTTCATAAAAATACTATCTCAACTAAGATAAATATTTAAAATACTAATGGAAAAATCTGAAATCCAATCAGATATTTCAGATAGCATGGCTAAGCAAGAGGCAAAGGTTTATTGTTCAAAAAATCTGCAGAACTACAAACTTTCATAAAGGTCACAACCCTTCGACAAAGTCACAACCCTTCAAGAGAGTCACAATCTTTCATTTCTTGTTCACACCTTTAAAACCCAACAATATGCTCCCACAATAAGTATATTTACATGTTTATTACTTGAAGAGTCATGTTTTCCAATGTGTGATAGGAAGCATATGGAATGAACTTATAATTGTAACTTGTGGGTTCAAGTAGTCTTGTTCATTGTGTTGGGGTTGATGCATTTTGTGGTGTAATGTGTTTATGCATGCTTGTTGTGCTTGCCGGTTAGCTCAGGTACCATGCTAATCCAAAATATTGTTGGTTGGCTCGGATACCACACCTGATATGATACTATAGTTTGGTTTGAGGTTCCATGAGAGGACTGATACTTGCCTTGTGATCATGTGCGACATGTCATGCATTGGTTTATTCCTTTTGTGGTTTTCATGTCATGTGACTGATGTTTGATGCTAGATTGTATATTTCCTTGTGATGTTTGTTGCTAGATTGTATATTTCCTTGTGATTCTATTTAGCTATGAATTATTTATATGCGTATGTTGGATTGGTTGCCTGATCCTACCAGTACACAATTGTTTTTGTACTAATATTGCACTTGCTTCTTTTCTTATTGAGTGCAACAAATCTTTTAGGGCCGATACCTTAGTTGAGGGATATCTGAATCGAATCCAAGGGTGAGCTTCATCTTTCAAGCTTCTGGGGATTTCTCTATATTTTCTTGTCCATTTGTTCGGACATAGACTTTTGATCTAGAATGTTCAGTTTTCGGGATTGCATCTCCATTTGGATTTATATTAGGATTTTGGTATGGTGACTTACAGTTCATAGGGGTGTTCCCGCGTTATTATTTTTAAACAATTGGGTTGAGTTTACGGAGGAATGTTACAATAGAAAATTAAAAAAATACGCACATAGAAAATAAAAAAAAAGTCAATGTGTAATATATAGTCGTAAAAGCAAAACTTTGATCTACCTAATAATGTAAGAAAAGGAAGTACAAATGCAAGTATAAAAATAAATGAGTGAATTGTAATATTACATAAAAACTTCGCCACACTCGGTATTCCTAATTACTTGTCCACTTTTGAATTGACACACCTATTAATTAAGAAAACAATAACTGATATGATGAGCTTACCATTTTACCTCTATTAATTATGAAGTGGATGAATTAAAAACTTAAGATTTTCAAGAAGTTCTACATTTTTCAAAGTAATAAATTAAGATTATAATAGAGAATATTTTTTTGTCCTTTCTTGATTTGTCAAAATGGACAAGTAATTAGAGACAACTAAAAAAAGAAAAATGGACTAGTAATTAGAGTCAGAGAGAGTATACTACACTAATAAATACCATATATATGTTCATTTAAAATATTATGTATTGAACCAATTCTTGCTGAAAGACTCCTTTTTCTTGCCTAACGCGTGATATTTATGTTGGACCATGTTTAATTAAATAATATAGTCAAAATGGCTGCTTGCTTTTGAATATTTAAATCTTCTTTTTCTTACTTTGACAATTTCCAACCACCCCACATCATTTAATTATTATACTCTAGTAAATTTCAAGTTCCAACTCAAATTCTCATTTGCAACTTCTCCAAATTTTTCAAGCCACCATGAAAGCAATTCACCTCTCCCTTGTCACACATCTCCACCATCACAACCTTGACCTAAATAAAAATAGGATTCCCATGGTCTATGCCTACCAAGATGTGAAAACCTCAAAGAAACAAATAGGCTTCGTGAAAAATTGTCAAACCTTTTAAACATTCAAAAACCATACCAAAAGAGTGATCCACCTCCTGTAAACAAAAGCAAGATAATGAAACGTGCAGTAAACAAAAATAGAGAAAACTAGTCGACACGTTGAGAAGAAAGGGAACTACTTTGCTTCTTGTTTAGTGCTCTGCAACTGTGGATTTTATGTGACAAATACATAACGTTTTAAGCTAAAAACTGGAACCACTAACTCCTAAAAAGTAGGAAGTAAATCCATGATAAATTACTCCACTAAAGACTAGGACAAATCTGAAATAACTTGACTTTATTTGCTAATAGAACTCTATGTAACGGACTATTTCTCTAACACCCTCCCTTAAACTGAAAGCATGTAAGCTTCAGTTTAACTTCAGCTTCTTGAAATCTTCCATAGTGTTGATACCCATCGACATACTCAGATTTTGAAAAGGGAGAAATCTGAGAGGTTTGGTAAAAATGTCGGCCAACTGATCTTCACTTCGGCAGTACTACAACTCTATTGTTCCTTCATTATAGAGATCTCGCAGGAAATAATACTTCACATCAATGTGTTTGCTTCTTCCATGGTTCACAAGATTCTTTGACAACTTGATGGCTGAATTGTTGTCGCAAAATATTATAGTGGCTCTTCTCGTCTTGAACTACAGCTCTTCCATGATTCTTCTAAGCCAAATAGCTTGACAAGCACAAGCTGAAGCAGCAACAAATTCAGCTTTTGTACTTGATAATGTGACAATTGTTTGTTTTTTAGAGGACCACGACACAGCCCCTGCACCTTACATAAATACATAACCCGAAGTACTCTTTCTATCATCTTGATCTCCTGCATAATCACTATCAGTGAAGCCAACCAAATCTGTCTTTTCTCCTTTCAGGAAGAAAATTCCAAAATCCTTGGTTCCTTGTAGGTAACGCAGAATTCTCTTCGCAGCTAGTAGATGCATTTCAGTCGGGCACTCCATATATCTACTTACAGGACTAACAACATACATGATGTCTGGTCCTGTAGCAGTCAGATACATTAAACTACCGATAATTTGCTTGTAAAACGTGCTATCCACCTTCTTTCCGCTCCCAACTTTGTTAAGTTTCAAACCAAACTCAACTGGAATGTTGGCTGGATTGCAATTCTGCATCTCAAACCTATTTAAAATTTCTCGTACATACTTCTTTTGAGATACAAATATCCCTTCATCAGATTGCACAACTTCTAAACCAAGAAAATAATGCATCTTACCAAGATCGGACATCTCGAATTCATTCATCATACACTTCTTGAATACATAAAAAATGATGCTACTATTCCCCGTGAATATAAGATCATCAACATATAAGCACGCAATGAGCATTTTCCCATTCTCCCCAATTTTCACAACAAGTGTATGCTCGTATGGACACTTTTGAAAACCCATTTTCTAAAAATAAGCCTCAATACGGCTAACCCAAGCCCGTGGGGCTTGTTTTAGTCCATAAAGAGTTTTCTTTAATCGATAAACCTTCTGCTCATTATCAATCTTAACATAACCAGGGGGTTGTTCGATAAATACCTCTTCCTCCAAGTATTCATGTAGGAAAGCTGATTTGACATCCACCCGAAAGATAGACCACGCGTTTTGTGCCGCCATGGCAATTAACATTCTGATAGTGTCATGCCTTGCAACTGAAGCAAAAACTTCAGTGTAATCAACACCATACTCCTGCTTGTATCCCTTAGCCACCAATCACACCTTATACTTATCAATTTCACCATTTTCTTTCAGCTTCATTTTATAGACCCATTTGATACCAATGATTTTTTGCTTCTCATGAAGATCAACAAGCTCCCAAGTATCATTCCTTTCAATAGCTTCAATTTCAGCATCCATAGCCTTTCACCATTTTTCTTCTCTAACAACACTCTCAAAGGTTGCCGGGTCACAATATGCAAAATGAGTAATTGCATCATCATTTACATTAATTCATGTTACCTTATAGTCTCCCATCCACGCTGGATTTCTACGAACACGATGAAGAGACTGAGCTACTGCATTAGTTTCTTCTAAAGCTGCTAGTAAAGATTCAGCAGTTGGTGAAATTTCAGCAGGAGCAAATGGAATTTCAGCCGCTGCAGAAGTTGAGTTCTCCGCAGTTTTGGGCATTGCAGCTGCTTCTTCGACTCCAATATCAAATAAAAATGGAGTAGATTGCTGCATACTCCAGTCCCAAGTGCTTTCTTCATAAAAAAATGACATCTCTACTACGGCTGGGCACCGGACCGGAACGGGATGGGTTGACCGGTATCGAAATGAACCAGACCGGAATGATCGGGATGAATATTCGGTTCCGTCCCGTCCCACTATATACTGGGATCGTACTGGACCGGACCGGAACGGACCGGGACGGGACGACACATATTTCAAAAAATAATAATTTTTTTAGTTATTTTTGAATCACGAAACTATGAATGCTTTTTTATTTTTCTAAGTTTAAATTTTAATAGTTTTGAAATTTATGATGTAATTTTACTAAAGTTTATTTTAAAGATTTTTTCTTAAACTTTTTCTTATTAAGTTCGTAAGTTAGGTTTAATAAAGTTTTTTTTTTGAATAAAATTTGAGCTTAAGTTTTCAAGATTTGAATTTGAATCTTTTGAAGTTTATAAGTTATTACTTATTAATATGTTATAAGTTATACTTATAACTTGTATTTTAAATAGCTTAAGTTTGTAATTTTAAAAATTAAATAAAAATAAAAGTATATACAATGACACAAATTAAAAAAAATGATCAATCCAATTTATTCAAATTTGCATTACAATTTACCACTATTAGTAGAGTGCCTAATTTACGTAGCCACCTTCTAGGAAGGGTTCTGTTTCAACTAATCCTCGAATGTATTACTAATAGTGGTATCGTCCTACAAAGTCTTTCTCTAACTCAGCTATAGATTGACCTTTATCAACTACTGGTCTTGGTAAAGCTCTTTGATGATCTTGAAGTTCCATGCCGTCGTCACTACCATACCTAATCACTGAATCTACGAAAAGTTCATATTGACTACTTAACTTTGGAAGTCCTAGATTTCTCCGCTCAGCATTTATCCAATCTCTAAACAACACCGATATCTCCAAACTGTCTTCTGCTAACGAATATTTGTGGTCTCGAATTTGAAATCTTGCCGCGTTGAAAGTTGCCTCCGAAGCTACTGATGATCCTTGAATTGCAAGAACATCTTTCACCATCCTACTAAGTTTTGGAAATTAAGTTTCACGAGCACTCCACTAGTTTAGGAGTTGTGGTATATGTTCCTCGTTTGTAATATTATCTGAACCCTGTTCAAGATATTTACCAAATTCACATTTATTAGAAGAATCAAGACCAAGTTTATGTGTCATTCTACCATGGGCACCTACTTGAGGCATAGACATATGAGAATTTTCAACATTGTCTAAGGAACAATATTTATAATACATTTCTTTAGCAAGTAATTTTATACTATTTTGACATGTTACCAAATCAGGTTCTTCATCTGGTTGAATATCTAAATTTTGATAAATGCATTCAACTAAAGCTTTTGCACCATGTTCTTTATATTCAGGGTTAAAAAGAATTGCAGTTAAATAAATTTGAGGGATATGAATAAAATATTTTTTAAATTTTGAAATCATAGCTTCAATAGCATTTGCAAATAATTCATTTGTTTTATATTCAGCAAAGAGAGATGAAATCTCACATACATGTATTAAAATTTCAGAAATAGTAGGATAATACATTCCGGAAAATTTTTTAGTAGCATCATAAAATGATTTCAAAAATATTCCAAGTTCATTTACTTCTTCCCAATCACTATCATTAAGCTTTGAATCAGAATAAGCATTATGAGAATTAAATTGCGTAGTAATAGGTTCTCTATATGCATAAGCAACTTCAAGTATATCATAAAAAGAATTTCATCTAGTTTTTACATGTTTTGGAACTTTTCTAAATGGAAGTTGACATGCATTACAAAGCTCTTTAAATCGATTAATTCTACTACTACTATGCATATTAAAAATAAAAAAACAAGCATTATCAATTTTTTCACAACTATTTTCAAATAATTTCACACCATCACTAACAACCAAATTTAATATATGCGCAACACATCTAACATGAAAAGCATATTAACTAATATGACAAAGTCTAGGTTTTAGCATATTAATAGCATTTAAATTAGCAGAAGCATTATCTAAAGTAATACTAATGACTTTATCACAAAGACTGCAAAAGTCTAAAATATCCAACACAGTAGTAGCAATATACATCCCAGTTTTTTTCTGTTGACAAAATTTATAACCGATAATTCTTTTTTGTTAATTCCAATTATAATCAATCCAATGCGCATTAACAGTTAAATAATCAAAACCATTAGGACTACGACCCATATTAGTGGTAACAACAACTTTATAATCCATTATTTCAAAATAGGCACGCAAATATTGACAATGTTTTTCTTGAAATTCAAAAATATCTCTTTTTACCATGCCTCTTGATAAATCAGTAAAACTAGGATTATATGTATCACAAATATATGCAATAAAACCCGGATGTTCTCCAAAACTAAAAGGTAAACCACAAACAACAACTATTTTAGAAAAAAATTCACGATCACGATCCTTATTATAGGTTCGATGTGTAAGAGGACCACTTGGGTTCGAAGTATTTAATTCACCTTGAACAATATTTGACCCTCTAACCGATGCTCCAACGCAAGAATCTTCATTAACACCAAGAGAAGATAAATATTCAAACCACTCTTTACTATGTCTTCGAATCAAATGTTTTTTTAATCCCCCCGTTGAACCTCCACTCCCACCATATGTATATTTACATTGTTTTTTTTTACAGATATTACATATTCTAAAAGTTTTTTCAACACTCAAATAACAAAATTTCCACACATGTAATTTTTTAGTACGTTTTACCTTGGTCTTATTCGTACTTGGAATAATAGGAGGACGACTAGTTCCAACCGGAGGATTGTCCTCATGAGGTGGAACTTCAGTACCATTGAGGTCGGGACTAGTCGGTGTATCATCTAAATCTACTTCTTCATTTTCTTGATAATTACCATAATGTATTTCATAAAGCTCATGGGGAATTATAGGAGTATCCAAATTAATTTATATAGGACCGGGACGAGAAAAACTAGTTTCATTCACATGTGTAAATTCATCTGTATTTCTTCTAACAAGAGGAACTTTAGAGTTAGAAGAACTAGAACCTTTATTATTTTTTATAAACATATCTTTTACTCTTTCTTCAACACCAATTTTACTTTTACCCCTTTTTTTTTTTATAAAACTCCATGATATAAAATTATAAATTATAAAATACAAAATTTAACAAGAAAAAATAAAATATAATAAGAACAACTTACAAATAATAAATACAAAAAATACATATAAGATTAGAGAGTAGAATGAAGTTACCAAATGTTTGTGTAAAGAACAAACGATTATAACCAAAAATTGAATAATTGATGTCGAAGCTTGAAGTTTGAAGAAGATTCCTCCTCCAAAATTCACCAAATGATTATTCAAATCTTCACAATTACAAAATAATATCATTGAAATTTGGAACTTGAAACTTTGAGAAAGATTGAGAATTGAGAGAAATTAATATTTGTTAATTGTTACTATAAATCTGTAATTAAAAATATAAAGAGAGGGAGTGTATATAGTTTTTAGAAATAAAAGGGGAATATGGGATTTAAGGAACAAAATTCTTAGTTTCTTACCGTTGGATTGTTGGAAAATATTGTCGTTGGAGAATGGAGACGTTGGAGTAATGGAATTTGGAGTCGTTGGACTTGGAGACGTTGGAGATGGAGTAATAGAGTCTTGGAAAATTGAATTTGGAAAATGGACTTGGGCTAGTGGTGACTGGGGAAGGGGGCAGACGCATCTTTTCAGAAAAGGCTGCCGCTTGGGGCAGTGGGGCAGGTAAGGCTTTTCAGCCTATATTTTAAAAACAAAATATTCCTATCAGCCTATATATAAATTATAAAATATAAATTAATTAATAAAAAATAATTAACTAAATTACCAGACCGGACCGGACCGGAACGGAATCGGAATATGTCGGGATCAATCGGACCGGAATTACCGGGATGAAATTGTGATTCCATTACGTCCCGAGTTCTGGTTCACGGTGTCCCATTCCGTTCCGTAGACTATCGGACCGGAACGGACCGAAATTGTACAACTCGGTCCGGTGCCCAGCCTTAAACTCTACTAATTAAGATTTTCTTCGTCCGTGGATTAAACAATTTATATGCCTTGGATGCTTCACTAACACTGAGAAAGATACACTTATCGCTTTTATCATCAAGTTTCTTTCCCTTCTCGTCTGAAACATGTGCATATGCAATGCAGCCAAAAATCCGAAAGTGA